TGATGAGAAAAGGGAAAGTGCCTTTCTTCACTGCCTATGAAAGGAATTCTCAGATATAAATATTCTTTATATAGATTTTCAGCCAATGTTGTTTTAACCTCCCCCTGGGTCCTCAATCTGGATTATTACTTTGGCTAGATTTGATTTTCCTTCTCATTTGAGAGAGAGAGAGAGAGAGAGAGAGAGAGAGAGAGAGAGAGAGAAAGAAGGAAGGCAGGAAGGAAGGAAGGAAGGAAGGATGAAAGGAAGGAAGGCAAGAAGGAAGGAAAGAAACTCAATTGCCAATTGTCTGTGTGCTTTGCATCCTCCAAAATTTTTGTGACTTGTCTCCTCTATGGTTTATTCTTCTTCCATTATTGTTTTTCTTTATAGCTTTGTTTATTTTAAACTCTTGCTCTCTATCATTTACATAAAGTTTCAGGAAAAAATTGAGAGACTAGTGTGCTTAAACTGGAGTAAAATGCAGTTCTTACTGTCAGTCATATTGTGCTAGTTCTCCTGTACCTGAATCATTTATGTTGTTTTATCTCTAGATTTGCCTAATTTCATCAGATGTAGGTCTTTAGATAAGAATTCATAGGTACTGTATTTTTTGAATTCTCACAGGCTTAAGAAATACAGTTTAGCTGGGTATAAAATTTTTCTATTGACTTTCTTTTCCTCAAAGATTTGTTGACATTAAATATTACATTAGTTCTTCTGTCCTAGTTTCTACAGTCATCTATAAGTCACTTGACCTTTATTCTTAAGTAATATATTTTTCAATAAGCATTCATCAGTACTAGTGCAAGGTTTTACGAATTCTTTCCTGTTTGCTGCATTGTTGTCTTTGTACTTAACCAATAGCTTGGCTATGTGTAAAATAATTGAACTATAATTTATTTCCCTCAGAATCTTGTAGACATTTCCATTCTGTTTTGATATTAAATGTTGCTGAGGGGAATTCTGAAGCATGTTTGCTTCACCTGTAGATAACTTGTTTTCAGATTATATCTTGACTATGGTAATTACACATTACTTTTCCCTGGAACTCAGCATGCCTTTTCAATCTGTTCATACATATATTTTCAAGTATATCATTTATATATGGTAAGTATATTTTGTTTTAAAATTGGCCTGATACTTCTAATATCTGAAGCTTGCATGGGCCTATGTCTGCCATGTTTGGTTTCTACTCCTTCCCATTCATGAGGTCTTTGTTTCTTTGTAGGATGTACACGGTTGATTGCCCTTGAAAATTTATTTGTGGGGTATTTACAAGGCCTAGGTTGCATATGTTCCTTGTTTCAAAATGGATTTTAATTTGTTTCAGCCAGGATATTGGAAACATTATCAATAGTGGATCATCACAATTAATTAAATGGCTTGAGGTTTCTTACATCTCAACCTATGTATATTCAAAATACAAATACACAAGAGGGCCACATGGAGTGGTGTGCGCCTGTAGTCCCAGCTACTCAGGAGGCTGAGTTGGGAAGATCACTTCAGCTTAGGAGTTTGATACCAGCCTAGGCAGTATAGTAAGACCCCATCTCAATACACATACACACACACATAACAATCTGTAGCTACAGCTTCCCAGGCATGTTTTTTTTTTTTTTCATTTTTTCTTCTCTGCTTAGCATCAGGGAGATTTCTATATAATTCCCTGGAGTTGGAGGCTGAGAGCAAGTTTAGATTTGCTGGTGTTTACACTGTAGTTACATTATGGATGTATCCCTGAGGCTTCCCTCAATATGAAGAGAATATTTCTATAATACGCTGCAACTGTGGTTATCTCTGAGCTTTGATTTATATTTCTTTAATCCCACATAGCTTCAGATCAAAGCCTGAGTACAAATATTTTTAATGCCCTGAGAGCATAGGAAGTTTTGTTGTTCTGATACACTGTTTATCCCTCTCTTCCAGGCTTCCATCAAAAATTGGGCTTTTTCTGCTCAATTCCACAATATTTTTTGCTCTTCATTAGTTTTGAAGTTTTTTTTAAGTTTTATTCATTATATTTTGCTTTCCTTAGGAGGATCATATGAATTATCAATACTATCATTTTCAGAAATGACAAGCCCTGTCTAATGTTTTTTCAACCTGAAGATTTAGTTTTTCCACCATTTCAATTATATAATTATTAGGTTACTTTTCCTTTGAATCCATTGAATCCAATGTTTCATCCATTGAGTACTCTGCTCAGACAGATCAATAATCTCCCTTCTCTGCAAGGCAATACTGTCTTCGCAGAGAGGGCTCTTTATCTTATGGGCTTAGAAAAATATATACAGCCATTCATTGCTTAATAGCAAGAATGCATTCTGAAAGCTGTGTCATTAGGTGATTTCATTATTGTTCAAACATCATAGAGTGTACTTACACAAATCTAGATTATGTACTCTACCACACACCTAGGATACCTTGTATATAGCCTATTGCTCCTAGGCTGCAAACTTGTACATCATCTTACTGTACTGACTACTGTAGACAATTATAACAAAATGGTGTTTGTGTGTCTAAACATAGAACAGATAATGCATTGCACTATGACATTACTGCAGCTATGGCATCGCTAGGCAACAAAAATTTTTCAACTTCATTACTATCTTACAGGACCACCATTGTATATGCCATCCATGGTTGACCAAAACGTCATTATGCCACACATGACTGTATTGAATAAATATAGGTGAATAAGCATTGAATAAAGTAACAAATGAATTTCAGTCTGTTATTGCATCTGGCTTAGTAAGCCTAAACATGATAACAAAATATTTTCTTTATTTTTATAAAATGTCCATTTATTATTTACAGTATTTGCTACTTGCTTTGTTCACCTAACAATATATCATTTAAAATATGTGATCCATCTTCCATTTTTTAAAATGTATAATGTGATATTGAGCCCTTTCTTATTTGTTTACAAATAATACATTTTTTTTTTTTTTTTTTTGAGACGGAGTTTCGCTCTTATTACCCAGTCTGGAGTGCAATGGCACAATCTCGGCTCACCGCAACCTCCGCCTCCCAGGTTCAGGCAATTCTCCTGCCCCAGCCTCCTGAGTAGCTGGGATTACAGGCACGCACCACCATGCCCAGCTAATGTTTTTGTATTTTTAGTAGAGACGGGGTTTCACCATGTTGACCAGGATGGTCTCGATCTCTTGACCTCGTGATCCACCCGCCTCGGCCTCCCAAAGTGCTGGGATTATAGGCTTGAGCCACCGCGCCCGGCCAAATAATACATTTTTAAAACTAATTTTGACTTACTGTGTTGCACATTAGGGGAGGAAGAAAGATTTTTTAATTCGCCTTCAGATCATGCTCTGCTTTTTAGAAAAGATATCATCATATTTATCAAACACTTTTATCCTTTGTCTCTCAGGATTACATCTGAAATTTTTTATTTTCCCTTATTCTTAAACTAAATTGTGTTAGGTCAAGGTACTAGTGCCTTAAAGACTTGATGATTTGGTGTTTTACACTTTTTTCCTTTATGAACGCTAATTAAGAGGCTCCTATTACTTATAATTTGAGTGAAGGAATAAAATTTTGGGTTTGGATGAATTATTCAGAGTTCAGGACAAAAAACAAAAAAACCACGCTGTGTGTCTCTAACCAAAATCAAAAAAGATATCAGCTACAAGGATTTATATACGTAGATAAAATACTTGGAAGAACTGGACAAGCAGAAGTAAGAGAGTCAGCAATGAACTGGTTTTGAAGGCATAGGAGCACAGCTGCAACACAGAAATCAGGACGCTGATGCTACTACTACTACCAAACCTGTTGCTCCCACAGTACCCTCTCCCACCTCCAAGCTGATGGCTGCACACTGGCACAGAGAGTGTCTGAATCCCTCAACGGTCTCCAATTCCTTATGAAGCTAATGGCTAGACGGAGGAATGCTGACTTGGCTGCAAGCATTCATATCTTTCTGACGTTGTTGGGGAACAGTGGAAGACAACATTTGGCTGTCTTCTAAGGTTCACATGAAGGAATCTCATTAGTAAAACCTAATTTACATCCAGAATAACAATTCCAAGAATTCTGGAAAATGGAGTTTTAACCTTTCTAAACCCTGATTTTTTTTTTAAGTTTATAAAATGAAATAGGAATGGATGGCATATGCCAATGGCACACAAGGGAAACATTGTTTGTTTAAAAGGCCTTGTCCTAGCACCTGAATTAATTTATCTATTGCTTCCTGGGCTCAGTTTTCAGCAGAACAAGAATTCTTTTGGCTACAAGCCACACCACCAATATGGAGAGAGACAGTCATACGTTCCTTTAATAACTGCTCTGAATTAGACAACTCTTTTTTGACCCTATCTGCTTCCAGTTGGCAGCTGGGGCTATAGATCATGTCTAAGTGGGTATAATATAGATGGCTACTTTAACCCAAATATACATTCTCCCCTTATTTATTACTAATATACTTCTTATTTTTAGCTGCTTATGTAGGCATATGAGCTATAGATTATATTCTCCAACCTCTCTTGAGGCCAGGTGTCATCTTGTAGCTAAATTATAGACTGTGAGATAAAAGCACAAGTGCCATGGAATACCTTATGGAAGTAATCTTTTAAAAAACGAAAATACACAAAAAAATGAAATCACACCCTTTCGTTCCTCTTATTTGTTGGCATGAATGGAGATGTAATGACTGGATATCAGGCAGCTACATTGGATAATGAAGTAAAGGTCATGTCCCGAAGACAGCAAATCAATGATGGAATGAGATTGGGTCCCAGATATCATGGAGTGCATTTCGGCCACTAGCCTTCTTTGATATTTTGTTTAAGCCATTGTTATTATGGCTTTGTCTGTAACTTCAAGGTAAACTGATAAAGTGATATTTAAGGTAAGAGTAAAAGGGTAGAGAAAAATGTAAGACTTACATACATATTTTGGAAATCACAGTTTGTTGAGAACAAAGAGACAAAGTAAATGGCTCAAGAATCAAAAAAGAATTTTAAAAATAAGAAAAAGAAAAGGAATGAATTAAAAATATAAAAGCATAAATTAATTAAATAGAATAAAACTACATAAGGTTTGACCAATTAAAGAAAAATTGATTTCTTTGAAAAAGCCAAGGATATTTTAGGTTCTACATATAATTGGTGTATTACATATGCACCTTTCATTTGGCTTCCTCTAAAAATGCACTAACAAAAAGTAAACATATTTTCAAAAACATAAACTTAATGAGGATGAAGAGAATAATGTAGAAGACAACAGGAAAAACTGTTTTAAGTTGGAAAACAGTTGAATGACTTAGTAGACCTCATAAATTAACTCCCAATCATGAAGTGGGAGGAGCTGAGACTCAATCCTGTTTAGACTATGGGACTAGAATCAATTCTGTTTAGATGATGGGACTTCTAGAGGCGTCTGAAATGTCAACCCTCGATCCTCTGGAAATGATGGTAACATGCCCAGTAAGAAGGATTGTGTTAAAGCTTCCTGTAAAGCAGTTAAATCTCTAGCAGTCAGATCACATTTCCCCCCTTCAGTTACTAAGTAACCTACCGACCCCCTTGACCCTAATGTAAGACTGAAGTTTTATTTTCTGATGAGTGCAAAAAGGAGGGTTATTATATGAGGGGTTCCACCAACAAAATTGAGGACAAGGGTAATATTGGTAGCAAAAGTAAGTAACCAACTAAATATTGAATTCTGGTTGATTGTTCAAATGCTATGATAGTCATTAGAATCAATTACAAATATTTTGTTTCTCCCCTTCTTAGACATATGACAAAATTTCAATTCCATTTCTTTTTAAAATTATGTGTAGCCATGTAATTTCCTTTGGCTAATAAAATGTGAGAAGTGATATATATCCATTCTGGGCTGAAGTTTTTGGAGACACGGTTAAACACATCTTTTCCCACTACAGTGATCATGAAAGTGTAAGTGAAGATGATATCTACAAGTTTAGATCCTTGACTGACTGCTGTGAGGAAGGCCCCAGGCTGAACTATATAGGTTATATGAGAAATAAATCAACTTTTATTGTGTTAAGCTGTTGAGATTTGGGGAAGTTGTTCGATATTAAGCATAACATCCTATCCTGGTGCAAAACTGTACTCCTCTTCACCCACTTAATCCTTCACCTTTTTCAATCTATATCTTTTCCTTCTGGATTTAAGAGTGAGGTAGCCTGGCCAGTCTAACTGGAAAGACCTAATCATACTGACACTGAGGTTTCCCCACTCATCAGTGCTCTCAGGTCACTTTAGAATGAAAAATCAAAGTGGACAAGCATACCTACCTACTCAGAGCCATCATTTAGTTCCGTAGTCTCCCAAACTAAATAAGAACATACACATGAAGAAAGTTTCTGAAAGGGAATACAGAAATTAAAACAAAGCAAAGAGTAAAAAGGTAACTTGGAGAAAATGGAAGTTTGCAGCAAGAGGAAAACTTGGGGGAAAAGCTATTATTAATATCAGATGAAAAAAGAAGTTATTACATTTAAAAAATACATGCAAAAAGAGAGCTCTTTTTTAAAAAAAGAAACAACTCTTGGAAAATACTAACTTAATAAAGAAATTAAAATCTCAATATAAGGGCTTAAAGATAAAGTTAAGAAAATGTTCTAGAAAATACTGCAAAAATATTTTTAAATGGCAAGCAGGAGGGGGGGAAAGAGAAATTAGAGAACCGTACCAGAGGCCTAACATCTGAATTATAAGAATTCTAAAAAAGGAATGGGGGCTGGATTATTAATGAAATAATTTAAGGAGATTTCAGAAGGAAATTAGTTTCCTAGATGAAATATCTCATCAATTATACTTCACAATGGATGGAAAATAAGCCCAAGCTAAAACATATGATTGTTTAATTTTAAAATGCTTGGGACAGTGACAAAACATTACAACAACAAAAAAATAAAATATAGGTCACATATAGAAGATAAGAAATAAGATATGCTTCATACATCTTAGCAAACAGATTGGTTTAGAAAGCTCATTGGCAAAACAAAAATTCTGAAGAAAAATTATTTTCAACCTAAAATTCTATACCTAGTCAAACTACTAATTACATTTGAAGGTAGAATAAAGATCTTTTAGTATGTTTAAGATTATGAAAACATTGAACTCTTAAACACCCTTCCCTGAAAACTACTGGAAGATATCTATCAAAATGGGAACCTAATTCAAGAGTGGGAAAGACAGAAGAACCAGAAATGAGAAGATCAAAAACAGGACAGAAGCGAAATGAATCTCTGGGTGACGCTGACGGATGATCCCAGGATGACAACTGAGTCTCAGGCATAATAAATAACTAGTCCAGGAAGGAGCCATTTGATTCAAGAGACAGGGATTTTGAAGGATATCACTAGCAATCCTCCTAACATTGTAGCAGCTTTTCAATCATATAAACCTATTGGAGGATGTGATCTAGTAATGCCATAGGGTAAACTGAAAAAGGGCAAGATATAAAATCCCAGAAATAGCAAACATATCCAGAATAAAAGGCAAAGAATTTCAAGAATGACAGCAAAGAAAAAATCCAGAATGATAGCTATGCAGTAGGCATAGAGAGCAACTACCCAACTTAATGGAAAATTGAAGCCTCAGGAGGAATGGAAATGACTATAGGGAAAATTGTACTGAGAGGCAATTGTATCTGTGGGATCAATAAGTGATAGGGATAAAAAATCAAGTAAATGAAAAGGCAAGGTAATTATTAACTTCAAGAAAAAAGTGAAAAAGAAAATATAATGAATATATGATAATGTTCCCAACATATTGTAAGTAAAAGAAAACTAAAATACCTAAAATGTAATCCAACATAATAGTCAATTGATAATTTCTAAAATTAATCAAAATACATCAGAAAACAGATTAGTGGCAGAAGAGATAACTAAAAGAGTTTTAAAATTGCTACAACTTAGGAGAGGAACTAAGACAAGTGAGGAGGAAAAGTGTGGAAAAGCCTTGTATTTTATTATAAGCCTCCTAGTGTTATTTAACAAGGTCATATATTATTTTGAAACAATGCATTTCAAAATATCAGTAAAGTAGAGCCCTCGCAAGCCTCACCAAGAATAAAAAGGAGATAAAGTGCTAAACATAACTAATAAGAATAGGGATACAATGAAAGGTAAACAGCACAATGAAAACAATGCCAAGCAATTTGCAAACTAGATAAAATTATTTTCAAAATAAAATGCAAGTTACTTAAAAGTACAAAACCTGAACAGATTGTACTTAAACCGAAGGTAAAATGTAAACGGTCGTCACAGGTCTGCTACAAGTAAAGCCACCAAACCCAACCAGTTCAAAAGGCAAGTTGGAATTAAGCGTGTAGAAACATATAATAATATAATTATTAAAACTATTGTATAAAAATAGATAATAAGCTCTTTAACACATTCTATGATGCCAGTATAATCATTTAATATTAAAGCTGTAAAAGGCAAACACACACAAGGAAAACATGAACTAGAAAAATCCTAAAACCATGTTGACACATCAAATCTATCTGTGCACTAAAACAATAATACATTATAGTTAAATGTCATTTATATCAATAACTCAATAATTTAGAAACTAAAGAACAAATGTATTATTTCAAAAACTATCAAAATTACTTCAAAATATGAAAGAATAAAGAAAAAGAAAATCTTCTTGATTCAAAAAAAGTATTATTCACCTCAAATTGAGATCAACCATCATAGTTGAAGATGAAATACTGGAATTACTTTCATAAATGCAAGATTGACATACTTGTTATTACCAATTTTAAGAGTATTCATTGGATATTGGAAATTCTAGTCACTGAAATTATAGATGAATAATAATTTCTATATAATACTTAAAGCAGGTGAAGGATGAAGATTGGATTGGGGCAGGCAGAAAGTGTTCCAAGAAATATCACAGGTAAGAGTTGAGACCTGGAAAGTGGAAGAATTGTTTAATTCACAAGAAATTGGAAAAAGGTCAATTATTCTGCCATATCTGCATCATTATTGTTAAAATACTTTACAAGTGAATAAAATGTCCTCAACCAATATTTGTTAACTTCAGGGAAGAGGCTTCATTTTCTCATATTTTTTTTACTATCCATTTTTAAAATAGGAGGTTTTCTTAGATTTCGGTGGGGAACCAGAGTTTAGTTTCATGCCCCTGGATTTAAGAAGACAACTGATTAAATTTTCTACGAATCCAGATTATCACAGGGGAAAACAACATCAGTTATTACTTACTAGCATTTCTATGACCATTTGAGGGTAACAATGGAATGAAACAGCAAAGATACCAGGGACAAGTCACTCTGGTTGCAGAATTCCTTCAATCCGCCATCTTTTTGTTCTAGTCTTGAGAACGGGAATAACATTCACAAAACGCAAGGTGGCGCTGCTGTCTAAAAAGAGAGAGAAATACCTTTGCAAAGAAAGGATGTTACAGATTCCAGGGTAAAGAGGAAATCTGACCAGAAAAGTATAGGAAAGGAAACCGTGGTGATAGGAATTGGGGGAAAGTGAGGATCCTTCCCCACAAACATTGCTGTTATTCAGCTCGTTTCAAAGGATTCGGCTGCTGCCATTTGTGAGAGCTGCTGGAGACTGGATGGAAGTCATTTTGAAAGACTGATCCAAGGAAGAATGGAGGCCGGAGTGGAGCGTGCTGTGCAGAAAAGGCAAGTCCTATTTCTTTGTGTATTTCTGGGAATGTCTTTGGCTGGCGCCGAACCGCTTCGGTATTTTGTGGCAGAGGAAACCGAGAGAGGTGCTTTTCTTACCAACCTGGCAAAAGACCTAGGGTTAGGGGTAGGGGAACTGACAGCCCGGGGAACTAGAATTATTTCAGACCAGAACATGCAATTTTTACTGCTCAATTCGCTCACTGGTGATTTACTTGTAAATGAGAAATTGGACCGAGAGGAACTGTGTGGACCCAGAGAGCCCTGTGTGCTTCCTTTCCAGTTGTTATTGGAAAAGCCTTTTCAGATTTTCCGTGCTGAACTGTGGGTCAGAGACATCAATGATCACTCTCCAGTATTTGTAGATAAAGAGATTTCATTGAAAATATTAGAAAGCGCCACTCCAGGAGCAGCATTTCTCCTAGAAAGTGCACAGGATTCAGATGTTGGAACCAATAGCCTGAGTAACTACACCATCAGCCCCAATGCCTATTTCCATATTAAAGTCCGCGATAGTGGGGAGGGGAATATCCATCCCGAATTGGTGCTGAACCAAGTGCTGGATCGGGAAGACATTCCAGAGCTCAGTTTAACCCTCACGGCCTTGGATGGCGGCTCTCCGCCCAGATCCGGGACCGCCCTTGTGCGCATCATGGTTGTAGACATAAATGACAACGCCCCTGAATTTGTGCAGTCGCTCTACAAGGTGCAGGCTCCTGAAAATAGCCCGGTTGGTTCCATGGTTGTCTCCGTGTCCGCTAGAGATTTAGACACCGGAATTAATGGGGAAATAGCCTATGCGTTTTTTTATGCCACTGAAATAATTCTCAAAACGTTTCAACTCAATCCAACATCTGGCAATCTTTATCTTAAGGGGGAATTGGACTATGAGGCAGTTCAGACTTACACATTAACTATTCAGGCCAAAGACGGCGGCGGGCTTTCCGGAAAATGCACTGTGGTGGTTGAGGTAACAGATGTAAACGATAATCAACCCGAGCTGCTCCTGTCTTCACTTACTAGCCCAATTGCAGAAAACTCACCCGAGACAGTCGTGGCTGTTTTCAGAGTTAGAGACAGAGATTCCGGGAACAATGGAAAAACTGTGTGCTCCATCCAGGACGATCTACCCTTCCTCCTGAAGCCATCTGTAGAGAGCTTTTATATTCTGGTAACAGAGAAACCTTTGGATCGAGAGAGGAACACTGACTACAACATCACCATCACCGTCACCGACTTGGGAACACCCAGGCTGAAAACCGAGTACAACATAACCCTTCTGGTCTCCGACGTCAATGACAACGCCCCCGCCTTCACACAAACTTCCTACACCCTCTTGGTCCGCGAGAACAACAGCCCCGCACTGCACATCGGCAGAGTCAGCGCCACAGACAGAGACTCAGGCACCAACGCCCAGGTCACCTA